CAAAGGAACCCATTTTTTGGAAAACAATCAGATGAAACAATTCACAAAGTCAGTAACTGACCAAATATTAGAAATCTTGGCTGTCTTTGCTGGCAGGTAAAATATGAAGACAAAAGACTCTCAGTCTTCTACTTTTAAGAAAGATGGGAACATTAGAGCACAAAGAAGAGCTCCAGGAGAAGAATCCATTCCCTCAACAGAGAACTTGCGATGTCACTTTGTCTCCAAACAAACCCCTCCTAAGTACTAAAGTAGACATTTTATGCCATATTTAATAACTCCAAGTTTAGCTTGTCCAGAAAGATTCACAGTTATTATTCAGCAGTCATTCAAGTAACTTACAAACCTTTAGAAGAGGAATTACACTAAATTCCAAAGAAGCTCAGAAAAATAATAGCTGAACCAACAAAGCTATCTTCCTTATGTCCAAAATAATTCATAGGTTTAAACAGCTGCCCAGTGTCTGGTTGTTACATTAGGCACAGAAAAGAGTCAAAGGAAACAAAACTTATTTTTGCCCATTTTACAAGACCCTGTCTTTTATATTTCCTTCGAGTTCCTGATTTTTGTAGTCTCGGTTCCTGTATTCCTATTTTAATATCTATTTCCATTCTCCATTATTTTGACAATTCCTTTATATATCCCTGGATTTTGATTTCACATTCTAATCTGAGTTTGGTTCATCTTTCTAATTTTGGTGTATCTACTATTGTACAAATATTTATAGACACTATTTACTTTTCTTCTGCTATCTGAGGTTGTGATATAACTGAAGTTATATATAAACTGAAAAACATGGTCTCCAATATAATCAGACACTCAAAAAACAGCCACCACTGAGGTATAATGGACAAGTTTAAAATATAAAAAAGGAAAGCACCTAATAATGTATGAACAAATTCAGTAATGAACAAATTCTAATATGAAGTTTATGCAAATAAATAAAAAGGAAATAGATTTGAAAGCTGTCTTGACATTTATAGATTTTAATTCTAACCAGTCTCTAATATTTGGAGTCACTGCATATATATCATCCTAACTGCTTCACCTTATGATCATGAGAAAAAGGAGAAATTAATCAAGGTTAAAATAACTTCCAAAATAGATAAATTTTAAGGGAACAAGTAGAGACTGCATGTGGAAGAAAAAAAATCCATAAAATCTCTTTGTTGGCTTTATTGAATCTTTCTAATTCCCCAAGACACGGAATGTATTAAACCAGGCATAGAAATGAAATAGATCTCTGAGTAACAAAAGGCAGTCCATTTGATTATTTACTTACTCAAATACATAAGGAGAACCAACAAATGCACTTTCAGATAGGACACCAAGAGAAGAAATTATTGGGCAAGTGAGAACTCTAGAAATGCAAATTGATCCTGCAAGCTGCCCAGGTCAGATTAATTTTTATTCTAGCAGTGCCACCTCTCATTCAACTCTCTATGTATCCTCCTATAGTAAAGCACCAACCTGAGCCTTAACTTCGTCAGTAATTTTATGTCACCTTAAGATCCTATCCAGCAACATAACCAAATTTAATATCACCAACATAATTACAACCCACCAGCAGAAAATATTCATGTCTGCTGATTCTTAGAACTAAAGCATAATCCCACCCACCACCTCTAGCTCATTGTCACCCATTGTCAAAAGACCAACATCTAAAACAACTGATTTCCCTCTAAAACCCTTTATTATTCTTCAGAGGGTTTCCTTGTCCTGGCCCATTCACATGAAGAATTTCTTAATCATGTTGATGATCAAAAAATATGAATTAGACCCAACCAATCCTGGAGGTATAACAAAATCAGCAGAAACATCTTAGAAAAATAGACTTCTAAGCTGTGAAAAACTTAGAATGTTCTCTGGGATATATATTATTTGATGATTAAAAATCTGGTTTTGGAAAATGGTCAGATGTGGATTCAAGCACAAAGACTATAATGAGAGAATTTTGTTTCTGAATAATTACATTGATTCTTAGAAGAAACCTATACTTTGGAAAATGAGACCTTTTATAATAGGCAGCCTATCATATAAATTTAGTACATGCTTCATTTCATTTAATGTCAAGGAAGCTTTTTCTTTATTATGTGGTATATATTATGCAATAATATCATTCACTCTTTCATTCAAAAATATAATTCAGCTTTTAGTAAGTGCTAAGCATTGTGCCTGGGGCTTGGGATAGAAGAGTAAATAAAACAGATGCATGATCTGCCTTCCTAGTGCTTAAAGTGAGTAAAGGATACTACCTATAATGTATTCAAAATGTAAGGGTTAATGATGATCCCATAGAAGTGACTAGAGAGGAGCGGTATTAGTACATGACTTAGGCATCCCAGAGATGCCCATACCCTAATGCCCATACCCTAATTTCAAGAAGCTAAGAATATGGTGACTTTCAGAACTAGAGGAACATTGCAGATATAATTAGTAGGTTAAGGGCCTTGATCCAGAATAATTATACTGCATAATCAGGAGGATAAGCTGCAGGACATAGGAAATATATACATACTTTCAGTGCCTTCCTTATATTTGATGTAGTTAATTTTTGGACACCTCCCTCCTCCATATAAAAAAATTACTGATCAGTAATAATCAGAAATTATTTTTCTGATTTGTTCTTTAACTTCAGAACAATTAATAGATTTCAAATATATAGTTAAAGTTATTGATTCAATTCAATAAAATATGACATGTGTGAACCCTGCAGATATAAAATTTGCACTAATCTAATAAAAATATCACCTCTGACAAGTTATACTGCTTCATTGTTCTAATTTTTTTAATGTTAATGTAAATAAGACTAGTTTATCACAAAAAATAACAGAATGGAAGTAATTTCATTTCTAGTTCTTTGTCTTTGCAATCACTGTGTCATCATTGTTTATTTTTAATCTGCTGCTTTAAAGCATGAAGAGCATAATTTTTTATTAAACTGTAATCATAAATATGTTCATTTGAGTCACTTATGCATATTATTAAAACTCAACAGTAACCACAGTAATTGTTTAAAACTTAAACAAAAAATCTTGTGAAAAACATTTTATCATTGATGTTTAGAGTTGCTAGTGCATAGCGATAGTAAAAAGCAGAATGAATTTTACTTGTTTTATTACTATTTACAAATTTCTGGAAACAACATACCTTCTTGCTGATTTCACCCAGGATAGAATGCTCCCCTCACATCATCATTGGTATGCATAATTTTTAGCCCAAAGGTGGCGAATGACACTTCACCCTAATTCACACACAGTTCATGCTTACTAAATACAGGACCAATTTCAAGGTCCTGTGACCAAACACAGGGCACCATCTCCAGAATAGATCCCCATGCTTGAGTTTTATGCTCTGCTACTACATTCCTGATATTATTCACAATTTTATCTTTGAACTTGTATAAGTAAGTGAAATTCAATGGAGCAATGAAGCATAAGCACTGGACTCTACTCACAGGCTGTTCTGCCTTTCAGAGCCTTCCAGGGACAGATCCCAGCCACCCACCTCCCCTACCCAGTGATTGTGCCTCCTTCCACTCCCAGTGGGAACCTATGCAGAAGGCAGGGTAGGTTGGGTTCATGGAAAAGTCCACAGCACCTGTGAGGGTCTGCATGTTCCTAGAAGTAATCCAAATGCCCTAGCAAAACAGTAGATAACCAAGTCTTTCACTGATCAACCAAGACCATAAACAAAGGAAAATGCTTCCTGCCCTATCACTACCTCACATTTTGTATGAGGCTTGGATTTTCATTTTGCACTGGACTCTACAAGTATGAAGCCTTCCCTGACTATGGATGTGGTATGTGTGTGCATCTGCTTGTGTTTACATCTAAAATAAAAACTTCATATTTGATAAAGTAAATTCATCTGACAATTTATAATTTAAAAAGTAAACTTACATGGAGCTTTAGATTGTTTTTACCTACAAAAGTGAGAATAATAATTTTGAGTTTATAAATCAGGAAGAAACACTTAAAATCTGCTCCACACTTTAATTTCTTGACAGCCAAGAGATTTTGGTCAGTTCCCAAAGTCATCAAAGAGTAATAGTTTGAAGATACATCAAATGTGTTAAATGGTCTTCAAAACTCACTCATTTCTGCACATTTCAATTATTCATATAACTTATGTATACTGAAAAATCTAAGTCTTCAATTTCATATCATAATGTCACATGCTTGTAACTACTAATTTTCAAAACATACTTTCATAATTCTTGTATTTCACTAATAATAAGGTAGATGAATACAATAATCCTATTATTAATCATTTATTTTGCTCTGCTCTGTTATTTAAGGGACTTCATGATCAGCATACAATTGAAAATGTCTTCAGACCTTTTTCTTAATTTTAAAAATGGCATAAAATTTAAAGGTAAAGAGTGTCACAGATATATCATGTAAGATATATAAGAAATAAATATATCATATACAAACACATATGAAATAACAGCAAAAGGACCTTGAAACAATTATTTTTTTCATTTTATCTAATTTATAATATCCTTGAGAGTTAAAACCACAAGAAAATCTATGACATTATGCCAAATTTGAAAAACGTTAAGAACTATCCAAATTAATACACCTTCAATAAATGGCACCCATCCCTACAGCATTGACTTTACCCAACAATATCTAAATTATAACTTTGTTACCAACTTAATCTTAAGCAACCTGCCCTTTCTTCATCTTATGTTTCATTCCTTAAATAAAATGCAACTCTAGTTTCCTTTCTCCAGTCCTGGAGAAATATCCCTTCTCCAATTAACATCTATTACAGCCTCAAACAAAGCAACCACATGCAAACAACTCTCTGATTGGATTCTGTCCTTTGAAGCTTCTATCTCAATACTGTACCCAGTGAGCAACCCAAGCATAAAGCCAATCAATGTAAAATCATGTACTTATTACTTATTTGTAATTTGTGATTTATCATATTTTACACACAAAAGCAATCACTGCATACAACCAATATATCGGAAGAAACCAGTCACTTACATTGCTCATGTACTCTGATAGAAGGTCCTGGAGAGCCTGACGAATAGCATTGCACTCTGCAATAATCCTCTCCCGGTGGAAATCCCTTGTGCATGAAGAATCAGCCAACAGAGCAGCCCCACTGATAATGGCTTCAAGACGTTTCTCTAATGATGGTCTTATTTCCTCCTCAGTAACTGTGAGTGGATCCAAGACAATTAAATTCTAAAGGATGAACAAATTTCAATGGTTAGAATTCTACAGGATTGATTTTTCACAAAAATAAATATTTTATTTTCACATTTACAATTAAGATGTTATCATAAAGAAAACAGCATTTTTACTGCCTTTGCTGGTTCACACATAAATCTACACAGCAATCACTATTCAGGTGAGTGGTAAAAACACAGAAAAGTGTATGAATGTTGTAAATATACATTTTATATAAGCATGTATAGTAATAGATATGTGTGTATATATAATCTTGTATTTATCATTGTAACATATGATAATAATTGGGGGCTCATAAGTAGCCACTTCAAAAACTTTTAAAAGTTACAACTCTAGGACCAACCTAAAACAAGATAATAGAGAATTAATTTTAAAATAATTAGGAAAAAAAGGTGTGTTATGTTTATATATTATATAATGTAAAATATGAACTAGAAGTAGATTTTTACTATGTCAGTCTTTGGTTCGCTAATTTAGTACAAACTTTCCACTCCAGTGTTTCATAACAACAATTAAAACCTTTTTGAAAATGTCTCTCCAATGTGACATCATTAAGTAAAGACACTAAGAATAACAGAATTACTCTGATTACTCAAATGCAATTAGAAGATGTGATAGAAACAGCTAGCTTGTCTCCAGCATTATCATGATAGAAAACTCGATTCAATTTTAAATATGTTCAAATATAAGTACTGTAAGAAAAAATTGTACTCTTAGGTGTTCTGACTGTGCTATCATGTCAGAAAAGAGTCTATAATAGTAGAATTAAGTTCACATATCAACTCTTGTTCCAGAGGGCTATTCCTCAAAATATTGTCATCTTTGGAATTTTACATACCTAACCTTTAAACTGCCTCAGATTCTTAAAACTCATCTGAATTTAAACCACCATCTATTCATTTCTGACAACTTATACCCACATGTAGGTTTCATGATTCTGTCAAAAACTATGTCCTATAAGAGTTTTCACTAACCTTGTTATCATATTAATTAAAAGATGAGTTATTTTAAATAGTTTTAATATTCTATGAGATACCACTGGATTTATTCAAAACCTTTTAAATAAAGAATTGTTATCTTCTAGACTATGAAATAGGTGGTTTTATACCTCATTCCCCACTGAATGTTGATATTAATGACCATGGACAAGAATATCTTTATGGAAACCTGGGAGTACAGTTGAGAAGTTCCAACAGTTCACTAGGGGAAAAAAAAAAATCAAAGAATAGAAGCATTGACAAGGATAAGAACATTTTATCCATGTTACTCCTTCTCTCAAGGCACAACTCAGTGTCAAGAGAGGCTATCTTGGCCTGCAATTTCTCCCAGCTGGTAAAGTGAGAACCAAGTGTGTGCTCAGCTTCCTGAGCTTGTGGAATACTGCCCAAGTGTCCCATTTCCATCTGCCCACAGTCAGAACATTGCGGATATAGGGACAGCTAGCAGCAAACAAAAGAGGTGAGAGCTCACAGCATCCAGTACACAGATGTCAGCAACCAGCAGCAGATCCTACTAACTGGTCATGGATCCTAACAAGAGCCCCAACCTTATACCTGCAATCCCACAACTAGTAAATGTACACTCCACATACTCCACCTGCAGTACTCAATGCTCCATCTATCCCTGTAGATTGTGCACATAAGTGCCCACAGATAGCACACAAATATGAGCATCTCGCTGAATCTAATGGTTTAGGAGAAGATGCACAAAAGTGAACACATCTCAACATGCCTTGGGTAAAATAACTACAAATTCCCAAGACATGACTGGACTTCATAGGCCAAGAAAAGGATGATAAGATTACAACTTCTCCCCTTGTGAAAAATAAAAGAAATGGAGTAATGCATTTATAGAAAGAAACTGAGAGACCCTCAGTATCTCTAGCCAGGTTACTTAGTGAAGATTTTTCTCCCCTGAATCAGCCAGTAAAGATTGGAGGTAGTAACTCCTTCTTTAAACATGAAAACAACCATAAAGGATTTTAAGGAATATGAAGAATCATAAAAATTGGTGCCATGAAATAACTAGTAACTATCCCAAGGATTAAAGATTTACTAAGTGCATGAAAAGAAAACCAAAATAATCTTAAAGAAACTCATTAAGAGAAAACAGAGAATTCAAAATAACCAGGAAAACAATGCATGAACAAAATAAGTTTAACAAAGAGGTAGAAAGCATTAAAAAAAGAAAGAAAGAAAAACCAGAAACTCCAGAGCTAAAGAATACAATGACTGAACGGCAAATCCATTATGGGGGTTCAACAATGAACTAGATGACACAAAAGTACAGGTCAGTGAACTCAAAGACAGATCATTTGAAATTAACTAGTGAGAAAGCAAAAAGAAAAAAGGAAATGCAAAAAAAAAAAATGAAGATGCCTAAAGGACTTATGGGAACCACAAAATGAGTGAAAAAGAAATTACATATATGGGATTATCAGAAAGAGAAGAGAAAAGAACGGGACATCTTAAAGATATTTCCATATCTTAAAAAACAAAATATTCAAAAAATAAATTAATCTCATTTTTAAAGTCACCAAAAATAATAAAATACAACTCCAACTATTAGAAGATTGTGTGTGTGTGTGAGTGTGTACGCATGTGTACAAAATTTCACATGTTGGTAAGAATATAGAGAAAGGAAGAATACAGAGAAAGGAAGTCCTGTTGGTTGGAATGTAAACTAGTATAGCAATTATAAAATAAACTCTCTGGAATTACCTCAAAAAATTTAAAATAGAATTGCCATATGATCTAGCAATCCCATATCCGAGTATTTATCCACAGTAATTAAAATCAGGTCTTCAAATTATACCTGTACACCCATGTTCATCGCAGCATTGTTCACAACAGACAAGTAATAGAAACAACTAAATGTCCATCAATGGATGATTGAAAAAGAAAATGTGGCATATTCATACAATAAAATATTATTCAGTTTTTTAAAAAAAAAATCCCGCTATTTATGATAGTATGAATGGATCTTGAGGGCATTAGGGTAAATGGAAAAAGCTGGACATGAAAAAACAAGTATTACATTATCTCATTTATATGTGGGAACTGAAATAGTCAAACTCATAGAATCACAGAGCCAAAAATATGTTTTTGGGGACCAGTGGGAGGGGCCGATGGGAGAGGGTGAAGGGGTCCAAAGTTTCTGTTATGCAAATAAATGAGTTCTGAAGATCTGCCACACAGCAGTATCTGCCTCTGAGCTAACAATACTGTATTATATATTTAAAAATTTCTAAGAGGATAAATCTTATGTTAAGTGTTCTTATAGCATCATCATTATCATAGGTGGGAGGAAACTTTGAGAAGCAGTGAATGTTTATGGCCTTGACAGTAAAAATGTCTAGTTGTATATACAGTAGGCCCCAAATCATCTAGCTGCACACATGAAATAGGTCTACCATCAAATGTCAATCACACCTCAATGAAGAGGCTAATTAAAAATACAAAGCTCATATTAAAAAAGAAGTATCTCTTTTGAAGGACAGATTTATGTTAAAACACTCATTGTGTTTTCAAGGCAAAAATTCGATGAAAAACAAACAGGATATTATATTTTCAGGATCCCACTCAATTAAACATAGAAAGTATTTTTCATTCTTTCTAGGTTCTGTCCAATATACACTTACTTTCCTAATACTTTGCTGACAGAAAATTACCAATTTTTGGAAGAGTTTGTGAAGGATAGCCACTAATTCATCTCTGAATGTTTGGTAGAATTCATTTGTAAATCCATCAGGTCCTGGGCTTTTGTTTTGGGGGAGGTTTTTGATTACCATTTCAATTTCGCTAATTGTAATTGGTCTGTTTAGGTGTTCTATTTCTTCTTTATCTAGCTTTGGGTGATTGTAGAGTTGTAGGAATTTGACCATCTCTTCTAGATTGTTGAACTTGTTTTCATATAACTGTACATAGTAGTTTCTGATTATTCTTTTGATTTCTGCTGTGTCCGTTGTGATTTCTCCTCTTTCATTTGTGATCCTGTTTATTTGTGCTTTCTCTCGTTTTTCCTTTGTGCGCCTGGCTAGGGGTTTGTCTATTTTTTCAAAGAACCAGCATTTGGTTTCACTGATCATTCGGATTGTTTTTTTCAGTTTCAATTTCATTTATTTCTGCTTTGGTTTTTATTATTTCTTTTCTTCTACGGGTTTTAGGGTTTTTTTTGTTGTTGTTCTTTTTCTAGTTTTTTGAGCTTTGGGATTAGGTTGTTTCTTTGCGTTCTTTCTTGTTTCTTGATGTGAGCCTCTATTGCTATCTATTTTCCTCTTATTACTGCTTTTGCTGCATCCCATACATTTAGGAAATTGGTGTCCTGATCATTCAACTCAAAGAATTTTTTAATTTCTTCTTTGATCTCCTCATTAGTCCAGTGGTCTTCCAGTAGTGTCGGTTTCAATCTCCATGAGGTAGGAGAGTTCCTTGCCTTCTTTTTATGGTTTATTTCTAGTTTGATGCCTTCATGGTCAGAAAAGATGGTTGGTATGACATCAATCTTGGCGTATCTGTTGATGTTTGCCTTGTGTCCCAGAATGTGATCAATCCTGGAGAATGATCCGTGTGCGCTTGAGAAAAATGTGTACTCAGATTCTTTGGGGTTTAGTGTCCTATAGATATCTGTTAAGCCCAAGTGCTCTAGATCCTTATTTAGAGCTTTAGTGTCTTCACTTATTTTTTGTCTCGGTCTAGCCATTGTTGATAGTGGTGTGTTGAAGTCTCCTACTACATATGTGTTTTCTCTGATGTCTGTTTTCAAAGATGATAATAGTTGTCTGATATATTTTGGTGCTCCTTCATTGGATGAGTATATGTTAATAAGTGTTATTTCTTCTTGAAGTATTGTCCCCTTGATCATAATGTAGTGACCATTGGGGTCTCCTTTTACCTTTTTGAGCTTGAAATCTGTTTTATCTGATATAAGTATAGCTGTTCCTGCTTTCTTTTTTGGTCCATTTGCTTGTAGGATTGTTTTCCATCCTTTAACTT